AATAATTTAGTTTATAAATTTTAAATATAATAATTTAGTTTATAAATTTTAAATATAATAATTTAGTTTATAAATTTTAAATATAATAATTTAGTTTATAAATTTTAAATATAATAATTTAGTTTATAAATTTTAAATATAATAATTAGATATCAAATGTATTTATAAATACAAAGATTAAATTATTATTATATAAAAATTTAAGCTTATTATTGATGAATTTTTTCATACTAAAAATTTAGTGTTTTAATATAAATTTAATTATACGAATAATCATTTAATAAATCATTGAGGAGTTAATTTAAGGCATAATATCTACCATGGAAGATTTATTTTGTTTTATTTTTTTATTTATAAATTATAATGTTATAATGAAAAAATAAAAAATAAATAAATAATTGGTGTTTGTGGGCCCGACTGGCCGTGAGAACAACTAGGGTTAACTGTGCGAAGAAAACGATAAAACGGCGTCGTTTCGTGGAGAAGCAAGCAACTCCTCTTGTCCCACGCCTAAACCCTGAATTTGGTATTTGCTCTTTCGCCTGAGAAGTCTCTTGAATCGGCCGGTGATGGAGACGCCGCAGGAAGTTCAGGTCGACATTGGTCATCTAATGGCGTTCAATCCTCACCACCATTTCACTTCCCCGCCGTCCTCCAGGTTAGTCTCTTCTCCCTCCGGCAAATCTATTATGCAAACCACGTTTACACCTCCTGTTGTTGCTACACGGACTAAGTTCGTATTATTCGGAACTTTGGGTTTTCTTTTAGTTGTTGGTTCTGCTCTTTCGTTTCCTTTGATTGACATATTTGAACCGGATTTTGGCTTTGAGGAACTGTGATTTCTCAGCCTTGGAATACTGTTTGTTTGGTTAATTTCTGAAAGCATGTTATTGAAAAGAATCCGATAATTAGAAAAAAAACTTCGATGTAGTTAATGTTTTGAGGGTTTTGGTTGTTTTGAATCTGTATATCATTTAAACACATTGGCATGAAAATATATATTTGAAGAGAATCTTTACTATTTTTGCTTGGTTGCCTCTATACTTACAGGGAGGAGCTAGTGAATGAATGTCTACAGAAGGGTACAGAGCTAGTTCAAGCTATTGCTAATGAGCTTTTCATCCTGCCTTCAACTGAAGATAGAGATGGTCCTCTAGTGAAGTTGTCTCAACCTAAAACAAAATTGCCCAGGGAGAAGCCTGTAAGCCCATGAGTATTTGATATTTTCATTTATTGTCTCGTTTTCGCTTTTAAACTATGGATGTTTACATTTTGGTTGGGTGATGTCTTTCTTTCTTTCCAGCTTCCAAAGCCTAAGGCTCCTACAAAATGGGAACTTTTTGCTAAAAAACGAGGTTGGACGTTTTTTTTATGCTTTAATCCTGTTTTGTGCTGTTTTGTATTGTATTAAAAGATACATGTTTCCAATCCTTCAATTGTGTGGATTGAATTGAATTGAGCTGAAAGTCTGACTTGCTGTAAAGGAAAAAACTGGTAAGGATGAAAAGAAACAACTAACAAGAAGAATGAGAGGCATCCGAACACAAGACTTTGGAATTGGGAGTTTCTGGGGTGGAATTTAATTTTATTACTCTGCGACTTTTGCAGGTATAAAAAACAGGAAAAAAGATAAGATTCTGTATGATGAACAAACTCAAACATGGAAGCGTCGCCATGGTTATGATCGTGCAAATGATGAGGAGAACATACCCATCATTGAGGCCAAGATGACAGATGGTATTATTTAATATAACCTTGCATTTTAAGATGGACTACTTTTCTTGATGTCAAATTTCTGAACATAATAACTTTGACAGAGAGAATTTGAATATTGATACTTGCCCTTTCCACTCTCAACTAATATAGATATCAAAATGCCCATTAAGTATCATGCTTTTTTGCATTTGCAGAGCCGGGGGTCGATCCCTTTGCTAAGAGGCAAGAAAATAAGAGGAAACGAGTTGAAAAGCAAGAAAATAATCGCTTACAGAATCTGAAACAAGCTGCAAAAGTTGGTGCTTTGCCAAGGTTTTACCCTCTTATCACAGTTATTGGGTGTTGATCAAGTAATTAGATTATATCTTCTCACAATCATACTAATGCATATGTTTGGGTATTTAAATTTCTTCGATATTGGCCCATCTGTTTGTACTTTGGGTAGGAAGGTGGAGCATATGACCACATCTTGTACCTGTTAAACCCATTGATTTGTGCCTTTCGTTTCCAACAATATCTTAATGTCTTAAATCTGTCTTTTGATTTTCATCAGTTTTCTGTTAGATATAAGCTAAGTTGATTAAACTGATGCAGCCACGTTCAACTAGCTGCAACGGCTCTGCCCATAACCGGGACGCAAGCTGCAACGAAGAAAATTACAAAAGACGAGCTTGGGAATGTGGCTGGAATGGCTGCGACCGCAACAGCTAGTGGTGGAAAATTCGACAAGAAGTTGCCTGGAGAAAAGCCTCCGAAGCATGAAGGAAAATATCGCAAGGTTAACTAGACAATCCTTCTCCTTGCCATGCTCCGGCATAATATATGCCTATCATAAAGTTAAATATTTTGTTCTTTGTTTACACGCAGTTTTTACCCGTTGTGGAAGGAACGGGCGTTGGGTCTCGAGAAAGGGAGCAAACTGAGAAAGTCCTGAACCGTCTAATATCAAAGAATTCACATGAGATACTAAACATCAATAAGGTCGTTAGATCATACTTTTCTTTGTTTTGGTTTCAACAACCGACATCTTTCTTCGTTGCTCCATGGTTGGAAATTCTGTCTAATGGTCTTCACTAATTATCCTGAGTATAGGCTGTGAACATGTACAACGTGAAAAGAGAAAAGAGGCGCAAACATGATGATAGAAAGCCTTCATCATCAACATCGAGCAAGTTGAAACCAAATAAGAAACTTCAGAAGAAGCCGCTGAAGAAGGGATCATCGAAGAAAGGACAGGCCAAATGAGGTTATTACCCTTTATAATGGTTAGTATTTTAACTAAGAGTTCTTGTACTACACAATCTTCTTTATGGAAGGAATTTTGCATTTGGACTGTTTATTGTAGTAATTATCTTCTCCATTCAAGGAATAGTGCCTCCCTTTCTCACACACTATCAGAAGACGAATATGTAGTTTTTTTTTTTCTTTATAGGGATTGATCAGTTGGTTCCACCTTGTAGCAATCAAAGAAGTGATGTTTCCGAGGGATATAATCCAATCCAAATGATAGTGTTATCCCTATTCCTTACTATATGAATATCTTATTGGTTAGATTGGCTAGAAATCAATCCCCCTTATGATGTAGCCAGTTGATGTTTTTCTAAAAAAAAAAAAAAAATTATGAACCTTCTCGATATCTCGATTCACTGATAAAGATGGATACCATAGAAATGTTTAGAAGCGGTTTGATAGAAGATGAGTTCATATTAAATGTTTAGAAGATGAGTTCATATTAAATGTTTAGAGTCTGCTTGATAGAAGATGAGTTCATTAGAGGCCGTTTGATAGAAGATGAGTTCATATAAACGTTTAGAGGTTTAGAGGCCATTTGATAGAAGATGGATTCATGTAAACATTTAGAGGCCGTTTGTTAGGAGATGGTTAGATAAAACAAAATAACTTGTTTTAAGGTATTACCTTTTCCTTGCCTTCCACAAGTGTGGACTTTCTCTGTCTCCTTTCTTTCTTTTCATTTTATTTATAGTTTTATTTTGAATATAGTTATAATTAATAAATTAATAATAATTTATTAAAATATTTACTCAAATTTATTCTTACAAATAACTATTTTTTGGGATTTATTTTGATTAGACAATGCATTATTAACATATCACAATTTTAAAACATTTTTCTTTATATCTTATTAGCTTGTAATTCTCTAACCAGAAAATGAATCACAAATTTTCAATATCTAAGAGATAAAAATGGACTAAAACCACAAATTTTCAGTGACAAAAAGAGGTTTATGGTCATACATAAAGTACAGTTTGAATAGCTGAATTCGAGCATCACATTGCCAAATGGAACTAATACATAGTTTGAAACCGGCTCTATTGAGTGATATTCTCTGTGCCATGAAGTAACATGTTTTGTCTCCGCTTTCCTTTAGCTTTGTTGATGGAAGTGAAATCCTAAGCACCATAGTTTGTAATTGTTATCAGCGATAACCCACAAGCAAGGAGGATAAGAACGATAATCAAGAACAAAGAGACTGAAGGAGAGCGCCTTCCAAATTTTACGGAGGCCTTATTAACTAAAGTAATAACTGTAACAGCCTAAGGCCACCGCTAGCAGATATTGTATTCTTTAGACTATTCCTTTCGAGCTCCTCCTCAAGACTTTAAAACGCATCCATTAGGGAGAGTTACCACACCCTTCCTAAGAAATGTTTTGTTCCTCTCCCCAACCTATGTGGGATATCACAATCCATCTCCTTGGAGGCTCAATGTCCTCCCTAGCACACTACCGATGACTGGCTCGGATACCATTTGTAACAGCCCAAACCCACCGCTAGCAGATGTTGTCTTCTTTGGACTTTCTCTTTCGAACTTCCTCTCAAGGTTTAACAACGCATCCGCCAGGGAGAGGTTTCCACACTCTTATAAGGAATGTTTTGTTCCCCACTCCAACCTATAGATGTGTGATCTAACAAGAAACCCACTCCAACCTAGGGATGTGTGATCTAACAAGAAAGTTTACAAACAGGAGGAAAGCTACTTTTAAGCTTGTCCCAGCCGTAGTAATAGTTTTCCTGTGCTTTATAGAGAGTATCAAAGAGAATACTGAGATCGAGAAAGAAAAAGATGCTTCAATTGTACCAATACGGTATATTAGCTACTTTGATGAAGAGAATACAAAAAGAGGGAATTTCCCCACTGTATCAGACTTGAGGACAAATAAATGGAACCCAATGTGGGATCGATTAGGAGAGAACCATGCCATGAAAAAACATGTTTCTCAAAAGCATTCTCTTTTGACCTTACATGTGCAATAAACTCATGATATGAACATGTGCAGTTCGTCCAAAGTGATTATCAGATTGTGGGAACAAGGTTAAATCGTACTGCATGTAAAAATACTTTGAATGCAGTTTAAATTTCTGAAGCAAATGATTTATCGAATGCATATTTACCAAAACTGAAGAATCAAATTATGTTTCCACTCTCTTAAACAAAGATATCCCATGGTACCTAAAAATGGGCAAGTCAATGGTTCCCCAACTAAAAAACCTACATCAGTAAATGAACCACTTGTTTACTAACGTAATTAACAACAGAGAGACCAGATATAAGGAAAGAACAAGAGTCATCCACAAGGAGGCTAAGAACAAAAAAGAAAAAAAAAACCTTTTCAACTCTGCTCTTCACCATCTTCGTTTTCCCTTTCCTCTGCAGCAGCAGCCATCAGTTCATCGAAGTTTTCAGTTTTCCCCAGCACAATCTCAATCTAGAAGGTAAAAATCAGTCATTACAAATGTTAGACTTATCTAATCAGATGGAAATCACAGAGAAATTTCGCACAGTCCCAGCAATTAATTTGCACGCTCAGTGAATAAGCGTCTATAACCCACACCACTAATTTCTAGGGTCCAAATATGAAAGTAAATAAACGTGATAAATCGGATTGGAAGTTACACGAGGGTATACTTTTATTTGCCAAAATACGAGAGAGAAATCTCTTGCAATGTTTCTTTTAAGGGAGAAAAAACGAGAGAGGCAGCTTCCAAATTATCATCCATTGTGAAGTAACAAAGCAAGAAAGCAGTACGACGTATTACCTTAGCTTTTTGAACTGGTCTCCCACGAGAATCATCCTTGATATCAACAGTAGAAGTCATTATCTCTGCAGAAGATAATAAAATTTTTGTGAGCATTCAAAATTATATTCATCATCTCTAAAGAAGTCATTATCTCTAAGAAATAGCCCCAATAGTATATTCCAAAAAAGGAAGGAAGAGGATATTTACTCTTTTCTAAAGCCAGTCCATTGTTTTTCAGAATTTCCGCAACAGTCACAACAGTTGCAATGGCTGCAAAGGCATACATAGAAGTTTTAACATACTAATAACCCAAACCACCATTTGAAAGGATCAATTGACTGCATTGCAATTCAAATAGAAAAATGTTTGATTTGTCGCGTAAAAAACAACGAAAAGTTGACTTTCCAGATAAGAACATTACAAAAAATGCATCATTTAAGCAGAGTATTCAAGTGTCCCAGTTTCAAACTTCAATAAACATATAGGGCTATGAAGCAAATCCGCACATCTCAAAATGGATAGCCATTAATATTAGGAGTAAAAACAGTATAGAAAACCTACCCATTCCAAGCGCAGAAAGCTCGACCTCATTGTACTGCTGCATATACCTCTACATAAATTGGAAAAAAGAAAAATCGGTAACCAGAGGGTTAGCAAAACAAACCAGATAAACTTACAGACAAATCCCAAAACAACGAACCTGTTAACAATTTATACCAAATTAGAGAAGCCAGATTGGGAAGGAGTCAATAAATGAAGCGAATCCGAAGCCAAGAGTCGAAAGGAAACAAACCTTGGCGAGATTAACATAGAAGAATAGGGGCTTCTTGGTGTTGGAGACTTGAATTCGATTCTTCTTCTGCGAATCAGCTGTCAATGCAATGGAGTTGACACCCTCTGTAATCTCTTCCATCGAGCTTCTGAAACCTAAAACCCTAACCCTAACCCTAACACTCACTTCTGGAAGTGCGACTATGAGAAAGGAGAGTGAAAGTGATGGACTTTCTTTAATTTTATATTATTTTATTTTCCCATTTCATTATTTATATATTTTCTAATTTTTTATTTGAAGCTATTAAAATTTTCAAATTAAGTTTCTAATTACTAGTAATATTAAAAATAAATAAATAAATAAAAAGTATGATTTTCTATTGGTTGACATTTGTTTTGATATTAAAAAAATTTCAGCCAATTATTGTTAACATAGTTTATAATTATAATTGGATTATGCCTTAATTTTCTGATCATTAAAAATATTTATATTATCAAGTAGGAATTCACGATAGAATTTTTTTTTAAATTTTAAGAATAAAATCGAAGCTTTGTAATATGAGAATAGAACAAGAACGTATTATAGATAGACCGTGTGATGTCCCACATTGGTTGGGGAGGAGAACAAAACATCTTTATAAGGGTGTGAAAATCTTCCCTAGCAGACACGTTTTGAAGCGTTGAGGGGAAACTCGAAAGAGAAAAATATCTGCTAGCGGTAGATCTTGGTCATTACAAATGATATCAGAGCCTCGATGTGTCAGCCTTCTAGCTGTTCCCCAAAGGGGGTAGACACGAGGCGGTCTGCTAGTAAGGACGCTGGACCCCAAGGGGGGTGGATTTGGGGATGGTCTCACATCGATTGGAGAAATGAACGAGTGTCGGCAAGGATGTTGGTCCCGAAGGGGGTGGATTGTGATATTCCACATTGGTTGAGGAGGAGAACAAAACACCCTTTGTAAGGGTGTGGAAACCTTCCCCTAGTAGACGCGTTTTAAAGCCCAAAGAGGACAATATCGGCTAGCGGTGGGTCTGGGTCGTTACAGACCGTGTGAATGTTACATGAAAAATTTTTAGTTTAGAAGAATGATAGGTATTGATATATAATTCTGGCTCGGGATTTGAGGGAGAGCTTATACCTACATAACACGATATTGATAAGAATGTGTTCGGTAAGTAATTTGAAAACAAATGATTCAATAAAAAGTATATTTGTATTACACGTTTTGAGTATTTTTTAAAACATGTTTAATAGTAGATTTAGAAATTAAATTCCAATTTAAAAAGTTTTGAAAAGCTATGTTGAGTAATATATTTATAGTCACCGTCGTGCCCTACGATCACCTGGTCAAGCCCCTACCAGGTGATCGTAGGAAGGGAGCTCAACTCTCCCTATGAAAAACGAGCCTTGAAAGAGGAGTCCGACACTAACTACAAAAACGACGTCCTTAAAAAAAGATCAATGCCTATCAAGTCGAGCTCATCTCACTATGAAAAACAAGCCCCGAAAGGAGTTTGACATTAACTACAAAAACGACGTCCGTCAAAAAAGACCAATGCCTATCAAGTGGAGCTCAACTCTCCCCATGAAAAACAAGCCTCGAAAGAGGAGTCCGACACTAACTACAAAAACGACATCCGTAAAAAAAGATACCAATGTCTATTGAGTGGAGCTCAACTCTTCCCATGAAAAACAAACTCCGAAAGAGGAGTCCGACACTAACTACAAAAACGACGTCCATACAAAAAGACCAATGTCTATCCAACCTAACAGAAAAAGCATGGAAACAGTTGTAATCTGGACATATTAACAGAAGGGGCGACCAGATTTCCGACAAAGAGAATGTAATGTAAGAACACAATGATTATGTATCGTATGAAACTCATGTAGCAGCAGTCTATAACAGCAGAATCTCCAGAGAAATTGGGGAAATACACATGATCATGTTCTGTATGGTAGCTATGAGATGATATCAAGAAAGGCTCAAAGGTCTGTCACAATCTGAATCCCCTGACACTCTGCTGCACAAATATTTGCAGTTCTATAGCAGTTCTCTAACAGTTCAATACTCCAACAAATAATTTTATGGTGAATGGACAATTTTGTTTCCCTTCTTTCTCACAGATGACACGAAAAAAGAATCGAGGCAGAGGACAAAATCGTCCATGTGACCGAACTATTTGAAGTAGTATTGATCGATTATACTAGCATTGATTCTCCCATGTTTGGCATCAAACCATGGTTCTAAGATATGTAAAGAAGAGAAACAATGGTAGAACATATAAGCATGAGAGGCCTACGAAACAATACGAAAAAAAATTCACGCTTGAAGAACCTGGCAGTGAACTATGTGGCTTTTCAGACGACTTCGACCCGAAAGACTCGACCAGAGATTTGTGACCAAAGTTTTGAGTTGCCCTTTTCCTGCTAAGGTCTCCCATAGATGTTCACTGGGGGCACTGTCGGAATCTTCGCACTTCGAAACGTCGACAAGAGAAAGGCTCATGTTATTGCGAACGATGCACAATTTTCCGTTGAATGGAACAAGAGCAGCTGCCTCCAATGCCTTAGAACTCCCCAGATGCAGCTTGCTATCAATACTCTTGTTCCAAGAGTTGGATGCTTCGTCGTAGACCCGAAGTTTGCAGCCATCCTTGCAGTCGACAGCATAAAGATGTCCGTTTAAGGAAACACTTGGGTTCCTCCAACCTGCAACCATTCCATCATAAACAGGACACCAGCTGTCAGTTTCGGGCTGGTAGACATCACTTAGAACCTGACGTTGAGTCCCAAATCCCTTCAAATACCATTTACCCTCATAAACAACTCCGATTATGGGCACCATGGGAATGCTCATATCGGAAATGAAGGTCCATCGATTCTTATTTGGGTCGTATACTTCAGCAGATTTCAAAGACCGATGGCCACCTTCATTTTCCCCACCTGCAACATACAAACAGTTGTTTATCACACACGATCCAAAGACATGTCGTCTACGAAGCATGTCGGGGGCTCGGTGCCATTTATTTGTCCTGGCACTGTAAAAAATGACTCGTCTCATTGTTCCTTTTATTGGATCTCTGCCACCAAACAAATAAAGATGGCAACCACTAAGAACCGCACAGCCAAACCCAAGAGCTTCTGAGTATTCTTTAGGGACAGGAGGAAGGGGCTGCCAAAGCTGATATATGGGGTCAAAGGCATGCCATGAAATCTTATTATCTCGGTCTCTCTTAACGACGTAAATCCATTCTTCTGCAACTCCTAAACTCTTACGAAGAGAGTAAAAGAAGTTGCCAGCCAAAAGACGATACCATCTTTTGCAAACTAATCGGAGTTTACGGTGTTCAACCCTTGGGACACGGATAAGGCAAGCTATTGCAAGATCGTCGGGTAGTCCAGGAAGCAAAGGAGATTGGTTCCTGCTCCGGTCACTACGAGCCGGCTTAGGTCGAGTTGGGTGTATCGATGGTTTGATGCTAGGTTGTAGACAAAGCTTTGAGCCAGGGACAAACTTTTTAGCTCCAGCAACAGTCTTGAGGCCTGCATCTACTCTACATAAACAAGCTGTTGTGTCAACCTGAAATCATCCATCAGTGAATGTAAGCCATTCTGCCTTTTAATCCTACAAAAGATAATAGCACATATAGCAATGGTATCCATACTAACTAATTGACGTAGAAATGCAATAACACAGACTATAAAAACTCAGCTTTCTTCAATCCCAGAAAATTGCAGGCTATTTTTGTAACTTGGATCAGTATTTTCGAGGGGATAGCTTTATCCGTCCTGTCTTTTGTACTTTTCCATATATAATGGAAATCGTCTCTGAGTATAACTAAAGAAAAACCCACACGTAACAAAGCAGCTTCGCTCTTCTCCCTCGTCAACTTGGTCTATCGTCCAAGCAAAAAATGACTTGGTAGACAAAGATGATCGACTTTTTCTCGCTCGATATGGTGGAATGAACCTTTCCAAAGGCTGCCTAGTTAACCAACTTTTGGCTAGAAACCAGCTCGAAGGAAAGAGTGGAAGTCTTTATGTGATATCCCACATCGGTTGGAGAGGAGAATGAAACATTCTTTATAAGGATGTGGAAACCTCTCCCTAACAGACGCGTTTTAAAACCTTGAGGGGAAGCCCGAAAGAGAAAGTTCAAACAGGACAATATCTGCTAGCGGTGGGTTTGGGCTGTTACACTCCCCTTATTTAGAATTAAAGCAATATTTGAAGAAATGCCTTATGAAATTAACCTAAGGGCGGATTTGCAAATACGAGCAAATGTAAGAATATTTCCTTCTCTAAGTTCCTTTTATCGAAATTCTCAAATAGGAGCGAATCGGTATAGTTTTGAAACGATCTAATCGGTTTTGGCTTTTTGTATATAAGTTGTCTTTGCAGCTTGATTTGTGTCTGTCTAATCCTTTTCTTCTCACTTCCTCTCCTAACAGATGTAAGAAACACAAGAACATGAATAAAAGACAACAAACCTTATTCTATACAAATTAGGAGACTTCATAAGTTTGTCATTCATTAGCTTCAAACATTTGCAAATCAATGATCAAACAAGAATCTTAAGAAATCAGATCATTAACATTCTCGAAAATTCCACTGAAGGCAGGATCATTGCACATACATATTATTCAAAATAAGTGTATAAAAAAAAAAGCAAGAACATCGTCCAATGGATAAAGAACTTACCAGAGGAGGTTGGATCATTCTCTCCATCTCTTCCCTTGTGGGAATATCAGCACAAGATAAATTTTCAAACTCCAACCACTACCCAACCTCACATTTGTCTGATCCTACAAGAACCATTTGAAAATAAGAAATGCATCACAGATTTCTAACACAGATTAGTCGCGGCAGGTCGGCTCTTCAAGCTTGTATATCCCACCTTGGCAAGTCCACAATTCAGGCTTGAAACACAGTAAATTAAAGTGGAAGAAAGAGAGCAAGCATGATTTGAGCATTATCTCAAAGACCCATTACAGAAATCAGAGATCTGCGCAGAGAAACCTCGTGTAAAGCTCGTCCCACAAGGTCTACAGACAAGAAATCAGAAACCCCAAATCTCATCTAGCTCACCAGAGCGGTCTGAGGAAGAATTAAATGCGAGACAGCAGAAAACAGGAGCAAAGAGGCCAATGAAGGAGGAGAAAGAGACCCCTGTGGCCATTAAACCTCAGTGGAGTTTAGGGCCCATGGCCTCAGCGGCACAACCTACCAAGTACAAGAGTGCGTTCAAGAAGAGAGAGACTGAAAAAAGCAAACCCAAACCATTAAAGGGGATCGAGAAATAGAGGCTTTGAATGATGGCAAATGGGTTGGTTGTTGTATTGAAGCATTGAAGAACAGAACCCACAAATGGGTAAGTGGTTGGAAGATAGCTGTTGTTGTTGAAACTTAAGATGAAGGATCAGAAGGGGAAAAAGTATGGAAAATGGGAAGTTCCCCGCAGGGTCAAACGCTCAAAAGAAAGACTCCAAAAACCCAAAAAGAAAAAAGGAAAAGACAGAAACTTCAACAAACAAACAAAAGACAAAAAGTAAAATTGATAGCCCCCACATACTCTCCTCTCAAACCCACATCTCAAATGGCCATCTTCGTCATTTGAAAGAGCCAGAGGGAGCTGAAAATGGAGTTCATATGATAAGTTAGATAGCAAAGCCATTGAAAGCCTTCATTCCTCCTCCTATTCACCACTTTCTGGGGAAGCTGTAAGCAAAAAGTGCCATGTTCCATAGGAAAAACACTTCACCTTTAGAAATCCATTTGATAATCATATTTGGTTCTCATTTCATCTTTTAATTCTTATCCTCTTTGGCTGTATCTAAATTTTCTAAAACAAGTAGCATTTTTGTTTTCTCATTTCAAAAGCCCTTTGATATCTTACTCCCAAAAAAACAGAGTATCTAAGTCAAAATTTGAAAGTAGACTACACAATGAAAAAGAAAAAGTGTTGGTAAATTTAAAAGAAAAAATGTATAAATGGTATCAAAATAGCTTTTTCTTTTTGAATGAGAAATAAAATTAAGTAAATTTCTCAATTTTTATTTCATTTTTAATTTAAAAAGATTATTATAAAAGATAAGTATCATAATATTAAAAAAAAAAAAAAAAAAAAGAACATTTAGCCTTTTTTCTTGGGTGGTTTCAAGGCAATGGGTATGTAAGTAAATTTGAAGAAGATTACAAATTTTGACAGTCATTTTGTCTGGTAGTAATCCAACTTATTCATGATTCCTTTACCAAATACATAAACAATGAAGGAATATAAAGAATCCTACTTCAAAACAAAGAAATATACCAGCAATTAGGTGAATACTCAACTTCTTTCTCATTGTCATTTATCTGCCAAATATGGCTTCAAATATGCTTCAAATATGCTTTCATTCAGCCAAGTGGAAGAAGGTGGGCTGAAGCAATGGATATCAATCAAGGGATAAGACCAGCTTAACATCTTTATTCAATACTCAAAAAGACTAAGATCTTTATTCGGTTTTCTAAGTAACGACGACGAACGAATGCCTCGAACGGACTTAAACAACAGCAGAAAGAGCAAAAAGTAAGCAAAAAAAATATGGCCCAACAGATCATTCATTCAAGTAACTTCACTGAAACAGTATTTTCCGAAACTTTACAATCCTACATATTGTCTAATGAGACTTTTTTGTTTTCTTTCTTTTCCTTGTGCTAAGGATGCGTGCGAAGATGCTAAAATGAAACGAATCACCTACACGAATAGTAAGGCACGCCACATGCCACACGCCTACTTTCCAATGAAAAAAAATGAGGCAACTAAACTACATAACAAAGTAAATGGACTTTGCCAACAGAAGATGTAAGAATATAAGAATGGTGCTCCAGTTGTAGCCATACCAAAATAGTGAAGGTCAGATGTACCATGAGCGTGCGTAATTCTGGCAAGGTCGGTATTTGAATTGACTGAGGAGAAGGCAGTTGGCTAATGGAGAATCATGCAATACAAATCAGAACCTTCTTTTATATCAAGCCAGTTCAACCAATCATCTGTGCTTCAAAATCAATCTTTTCGTCTATGCGTCATCACTTGGATCGAGTGAAAGTTAATCTGTACGAAGAACATCGCTCTGAGGACTCTGAGGCCTGAATTTCCCGATAATTATACTTGGAAATACAACCATGCATGCCATGAACAAAGTGAACTGCAGCAACACCAAAGAGTAGTAGTAGTCATTGGATGCCATAATGTAAGCCTAACAATTGGTAAGTGCCAAAACCAAAAGCATGTGATAAGTACCAGAAGAGGAATGGTCAGGAAACCCCATATCGGCCAAAGAGCAAATGACAACCTACAAATGAGAAGGAAAAAGGTGTATTTTATATGGAATGATGAATGTTAATAGGCTGCAATATCATAAAAGTTGGTGGGTTATCTTACAAGCAAAAGGAGATAAGCCCAAGAAGTGTTGCAATTGGTAAAACTGATAAGCTTGCTACTTCCCATTTTTCATTAAACCTTCTAATACTCCAAGCTGACATACTCGTGTAAATGAATATGACAACGTTCAAACCGATCGCCACCATTCCAAGGTATAACGGAGGTCTGCTCAAGAGAATAGAATTCAAGCAATGTCGTGAATCTAAGAATACTAATGTTCGTTAATGAAAGAAAAAAAACCACATCCTGAAATATTACAAAAAGGGTCAAACAAACAACATAGGCACAAGCAAAGAGGAGCCAAAAAAATTACAAGGAACCCTCACTATTGAGAACCAAAAGTAAAGGATTGTCACAACAAAAATCGAGACCCGACATCGAAAACAAATGCATTAGAAGTTAAACTCCAAGCTCCCAAGACCCCTCTAACCTCTTAAAACCGTCGGATTCCATTCTAGCTAGGTATTCCATGAACTACAGAGAAACCCACTTACCTGTTGATTACGCCCGATTCTTGTAATGGAATAGAGTACTATACATTTTCGAGAAGCACATATGACATTCCCTTAGTTTGGAAAATAGAGGTGAAGATTAACTTCTTCCAACATAGCATGACCACAATTGATCAAAACCAATGCCATACCAAAAACTGGAAAAAGTTCTACAAAATCTACGCCTACAGATACTAATCAACTAAGGCGGTCTCAATACGGAAAAAAAATCAACAGATAGAAGACATAATCGATCTAGAATGACAACTACTTAATGTGTATCCTTTATCTTTTTGCTTTAAGCGCTGAAAATTTCTAGTAAATGCAATTTCCTAAGATGTTTTGTACAAGAACTTATCAAGCTACCTGTATCATTCTATGAACATTGACAATGAATATGCCAAAGCTGATCAAATGATTCTCTACACAAAAATTATAAGATATGTGCAGAATTAGTGAGCCCATATAAACCACAACTCCTGATTTTGAGGCACACACCAAAAGGCATCCTCACTAAAGAGCATCCATAGAACCATTCCAGCTCTAAAAATTTGAGAAAAAAATCTGGCAACAATACGATGAAACAACAATCAGAAGTGTGCATACATCTAAGTGTTCGTTCACCTTCTTATTCGGCCATCATGCCACAAGAGAATTATCATATTGGAATGCCTATCGCCATAGTATACAATGAAAGCAGCAGAAGCAAGCCAAAGGACATTCTCTACAACTTCAACCCACGTCCGACCCTTTGGAGTATGAAACGACATAGCTTGAAACCTCGAACACGCATCATCCTCAATATCATCACCACTAGAAGCATATCCCTGGCTATGCCTCTGCCTCATATAACCACCCGCTACGGGTGTTCCCCCCGACATGGAGGAAAGAAAGGACTCCAAATCTATCAAATGTTGAGTTCCCCAGATAACTTTACTGCATTACCACTCAGATTAACTCAAAATTAAACGCCAAAGAACTCACGAATTGATTGACACAAGATCATGGAAAAGGTACCAATTCCATCAGAGATCCTCCAAATGAATATCTGCATCAAACCCACATCTGGGGCTCTTCGTATTCCAATCCCAACCCCTTTTATAGAAACAAAGGCTTCGAATTCTCGATAACCCAGAATTGGACTTCAAAAACGCTTCAATACCCACAATGTAAATTCTTGTATTGAATGCAGAAAACGGAGCAGGCTGTTCAATAAGAAACCAAGGAAGGTATTAGGGGATATTCCCTAATGACTGCGAGCTTTCTATTCTGGACGATAGAGATCTGAAAAGCAGAATGTTACGATTTTGATGGGGAGGATGAGTGAAGGGGTTATTCGTTGCGTGAAAGAAACTAAGAATATGGGGTTTTGAATCGTGCGAGACAATTCTTGTTAAACGCCTTTCTTATTTGCACACTTCCTCAGATTTTTTTCCTTTTCCTCTGTTTTTGCCAGCTTTATTTGCTTTCCCACCAATCAAAGTCAACATTAAGGAATTAAATCACATTGCCCAAATGCTAATTTGCCTGTAATGTGCAAAATATTAAAATCTTTAAGAAAAATTAAAAATATTGGATAAAGGTCAAAGTTGTTTTGACTTTTTCTCGTCGCTTTGGAAACAGCATTTTGGGCTAATTAAGAAAAAATATTATTGCCTTTTCTTTTTTTTACTTTTGTTTTTGAAGAAATCAATAGAAAGCTTTGGATTTGAATAGTGAAATGTTTTTGAATTTTGGTCTTCAAAATTTAATGTTTTTTTGACTTTTTATGTCCATGAAACTTTTGGAGTTTTCCCTATTTTCTAAGATGGCTTTTTATATTATAGAGTTTTTAATGAGCCTTTAATGAAATTAGGCCAATTTTATATTATAGAGATTTTAATGAGCCTTTAATGAAATTAGGTCAATTTAGTATAGTACAATTCTCATTTAGTGAAACTAATTATCAAAATTTATATTATTATTGATGGATGTATGGATACCAACAGATATTTATGCAAATAAAAAATTATATTTTTTATTTCGTAGGATTTATTTTGATATTTATACTTTGAAAATGAATTTTGACAAATATCCTTGAAAATGTTTATTAAATTATTTTCTCTTTCGAAAGTTACAACAGACATCACTACCAAATGATATATTATGGTCAACACATATATCATCATATGGATGAATACTACAAGTTTTTGTTATCACATGATTTTATTGAGTAATTTTTCGTATAGTTATCATTTTTTTTTAGTTCTTACTTATTTCTATCTCATTTTTAAAACACTTTGTTATATTTAATGGGTCTTGTAACATAAGTTTTTTTTTATTGGCCAATAATATGCCAATCATGTAACAGTTTTAGAGCATTATATAGGCCAAAATAAAGGGCAACAAAATTTCCATTTGAATAGGTAATATTCTTTATATTGGCAAAACAACAATATATGAATTCCATTTCATGATCATAACGTAATTCAACTTTCACAAGTTACCGTAGTAGTAACCCATAGCATTCATCTGGAAAATTTTAATTGGCCAGAAATTTAAGTTAAATCATCCACTTAGTGATTTCAAACGAAGGGCAATGGACGAAAATCACATCAAGACAGATGACTAGTTATAGATGATTAGCGATCAATTAACTTGGAAAACAAGTGTAAATCAAGAATACTCACCTAAAACGGTTTCTTCCTCTTGAAGTCAGCTTCCAGCCATCCATGTCATGCGCCCTACATTAGCTATTATGAATAACATATGAAGGTGAGTAAGCAATGCGGACAAAAAGTGGTGATTTCATTAGATTTGAAAACATGGGCAGAAATTACAAGAGCTCGATGCAATTTCTGTTTGTAATACCAGACAAGTAAGCATGGTTATAGGCTGCTACCAAATCCACTGCACAAACTAACCAAATCCATTAGTGTAGATTGCAAAACTTCCAGAGATAAATGGCCCAAAAACTTCCTGTATTCAGGCACAACATCTGAGATGTCGAAGTTATGTTTCCTGTCCTCCGTTAGGCCATCGTCCATTACCAACCACCAAGAAAGGCATCCTTGAGCATCTTCTGGGTCCACATGGGCGACCAGACGGAGTGTTTCACCTTGTTCTAGCTCAAATGACAGACTTAGGAAGTCACGGCTGACCTTTATTCCCCAGGTTAGGGCTTCCTCATGAAGCCAAAGAATAATTTGGCTCGCAACCTGTTGCGGAATCACAACGATATTGTTACTATTACGTTCCATCGATAAAGAAGCTCGAAACAAGGAAATCTAATTTGTGCTCACCTGCAACAGGATTATAACGGGAAGATCAGCCAAGTCACAGCCATATCTGTTCATTGAATACATATCCTTGGAATTTCCCTTGAACAAGCCAACTACATCAGGAGCACCTTCCCCTTCAATAGTGATGCAATCATCATTTACAACCACTTTAGTCTGAAATTGTGATTTGGTTACACTTTTCATTTGATGACTATCTGATGTACGAGCCTGGATAGAAGGAGGATGAAGTTTGGACTGGGGAACTTCCATAAAAAACGTCCATGAAGATTTTCGAGAATTCCAAGTGGGATGAGATATCAATTGAAGAAATGGAACTTTCCAAACCTAAAAACAAACCAAAGACAAACTACATGATTAATAGCTGGTAACATCAAAAACAGAGATCATAGTTATTGTAGTTTTTTTCATAAAAGAAAAAAAGAAAAATGAGGCACTGTGCTTTCATCGGAAACTGAGTTATTAAGAAATTAGGACTCTTACCACATTTTCGAGCTCCATAAGAACCTTGTTTGCGAATATTCTGTGAGCCAGAGACAAACAGAAATGACCAAGAAGTCCAGACCCATCATTAGAAGGTTGACCTGATTGCCTGCTTAATGATGAAATGGGTTTATCATTTGATTTTACAAATACTAGCTCATGGAAAATTTGTTGCAGATATATCTCAAAGGTTGTATAATTAGGATTCCGCAATTTCTTTTCAAGCGGATCACTTCTATCTGGTAGTTCAATCCCATCAAGCGAATCAAAAGGTAAATTTGTATTATCCAGAATCCAGGTATTTGCATCTTCAACTGTTTGGCCGCTTTGACCAGTTGGCACCAGAGAGATAAAAACCGACGTACCCTGATCTATACTTAATTGCAAGTAATTTTCTCGTATGCCAGTCACATTGATACCTAAGGATGGATTGAATGCTTCACGATTCACCAAATCAAACACCTGGAACCAGTATAGTGAAAAGAAAAATGATGTATCATATATCATGTGGTGGGGGCCAAGTAGCAAGGACTTGCAATGAGCAAGATCAAAGTATTAATGAGACTACCTGCTCACTGAAAATGGCATGGTGAACTTGACGGAGAAGTGAGTTAGTTTCCTTAATGTACTCATTGTCATTTGTAAACTCCTTCTCACTTTCAATTGGAGACTGATTGGATGAATTTGTGGATGAATTTTTACCACGTTCCAGAGGATTTTCCATATTACACCCACTGAGAAATCCAAAACGAAGGGAGTGGCATGAATTTGGAGGTAAACTAATTGCCAGCATTCCAGACGAATCACGATCAACACGAATAGTAGACGAAGATGGTCGAAACACAGACGAAGGATCACATGATAAATTGTCAAATAAATCAATGGTAAAGCCTTCATTTGCAGGAGCTGCAGCAGCAACGCGCTGTCTTTTAACCTTCCAATTTTGCTGCAATCTGATATACATCATCAGCAAATACTGAAAATCTATGAAGATGGGAAAGTATTAAGAGCATCAAAAGGATTCCAATTGTTTCTTTAGAAATTACACTATAATAACCATAAATACAACGCCAAAAGTTAAAAAAAATATTTATTAAATCTCAAACGGTGGAAATTTTCCATTTAATGAAAAATTATGAAAGAGTTAAATAGTAAGCTCACGATATTATGAAGGCTGAACCATAAATAATCCACAGATTGTTTTAATTTTAAAAGGAACAAGACGTGATTAGAAAAAGAAAGAGAAAAGCATGACACCATAAAAGAAAGAAAGAAATAATATGAGAAGATGCAATATGAGAAGGTGCAACTTATACTGTGGCAGGGGGCTAGGAAGAAGCCCCCATACAGACAGGCTAAACAAAGCTATAAACCGGGCAAACGGGAGCAACCACCATACAAGCTGCGATTTTATTGAGAAAAAGGAAAGAATGCAGAAGAGCAAACAAAAAACAAGCCCACAAAAGGGGAATTCTCAGTCCCATACTTGCCAATAGAATCAAGTCAAATTCAAAAGTATGACATAGAACTGATAATCACAAGAACTCCAATCAACGGACACATAAAGAAGCATTAAAACCATACAACCTCCCACACCATTTTTGAAGATCTTTCACCCGTCTAATAATTCTATCATTCCTCAAGTGACCCTAATGAAAAGAAAGGCCTCTCTACAAAGATTTTTTTTTAAAAAAATAGATATCCAGAAAACCGATTTTATCTCTGCAATACAGGAGAATTTCAGGAACTCCCTCAAATGGAAGTTTTTTATAATAAAAAAAATAATAAAATAAAAATAGTAAAAAATTTCAGTTTAGTGAAAATTACAATGGTCATCTACAATCCTACACTTTTGCGTTTACAAATAAGTTCAACAATTAAAAATGAAGCTTAAGCAATGGCAATGGCCTTCTAGAACCACAATGAGATAGTCGGAAATCCAACTATTGGACTAAACCCCAAATCTACTTGCAATAATCTTATACATTAAAGTAGACTCCTACCACCAAATTCTCCAAAGTCCAAAGCCACTTAATTAGAAGAGCAAGGTCATTAGTCAACCACTACCAATCCTCAATCTGCCACTCACAAACAAACACAACACCATGCTCCACTTAATCAAATGAAAAGGCACATTCTCACACACCCTTCGTCTCGCCTGAGCTTTTTGGTTCTGGCAATAGACACCGAGGAAAATTGAATGTGGACGAAAAGAACACAACAATTATTGAAAGAACTAATTGAATAAAGGTTAATTTTATACCCTTAAGGAAAGTCAATGTTTTTTCCTGCCGCTACACACCTTAGGATCCTAAAAGAAGAAAACTTTGAGGTTATGCTGTAAAGGTAAATCTAGATTTCATTGTGGCAATTAATACCTAGAATGGATCTCATGAATCTTTTAGTATAACATATGAGGCTTCATGGAGCCTACCACTTTGTGGCATAGAAATATTGTGCGTAGCTATAGTAGTAGGTTGCATGTTGCAAGGACAAGGGCTCTAGTAAAAATGTCTGAGTTGTTATTGTTTCAGGTTTCCCTATGTTCTTCCAGAGTGTGAAATCTTCAATGGGGCATCGCTCTAAGACCTATTTTTGGGAAGACAACTGAGTGGGTATCAAACCCTTTTGTTCTCCATTTCCGCATTTATACTGGATGTCCAATAAAAGGATGCACTTGATGGCCTCTATTTTGTCTTCATCTTATCTGTATTCTTCCATTCATTTGGGCTTTCGTGGTTCTTTTACAGACCAAGAGATGATGGAGGTGGCAAGCCTTCCTACATCATTGCAGACCCATCCTTCTTAGGTATTTTCCCTTCTTTCGTCCTCCTTGTCATCCTTGTGTGTCCTGGGAGGAGGAACATTCAGGTTTGGTCCCAAATCCTTCTTAGGCCTTTCCTTGTAGATCATACTTTTACATTTTGTGTTCTTAGGCATTTTCTTGTAGATCACTTTTTTCACATTTCGTGTTCCACTCCCTCCTCCCACAAGCTTCCTATGCTTTCTCATCTCTTTGTAAGATTAGAATCCCCAACAAGGTGAAGTTCTTTGCTTAGCAGATAATAAATGGGAGAGTTAATACCCTGGATTGTATCCAGAGACTTTTTATTTTTTTATTATTATTATTATTATTTTTTTTGCATCAAATGATGTGTTCTTTGTCAGAGGCAAAAGGAGGACATCGATCATTTATTATGAGATTGCTAGTTTGCTTACTCCCTCTAGAGTCGATGTTTGGCTTCTTTTGTTCTTTGTTTGGCTCAAAGCAGAGATTGGTGCTCTATGATTGAGGAAGTGCTCCTGAACTCTCCCTTCTAAGAAAAAAGCAAATCTTGTGGCATGCTTACTTATGTTGTATGGTAGGGTATTTGGATAGAGAGGACAAGTAGAATTTTTAGAGAGGTGGAGAGATCTTGGGAGGAGGTTTGGGAGGTTGTACCTTTAATGCTTGGTTATGGGCATTCGTCCCTAGACTAGTGTTGGGACCTTTCGTATTATGGGCTTATTTTTTATATGCCCATGTCCATTTTTTCATGTTTCTCAATGAAAGTTTGATTTCCTAAAACAACTAGATAGATAGATAGTATAACATATAAGGTGCATAAAAGTTATCTTATCAAGAACTTCTAATTTATCTAAATCGATAAAGGCTTGCAAATAAAAATCATAGTATATTTATACCTTATGATAAAACTTTTTAATTTTAATTTAAAGAGTATTACCGTCTGCCAGATTAACAATGACATACAATTTTTAATATTGATTCATTGCACAATAATCGTTGGATCAATGACGAAAATTGATTACCGAATTAAAGCCCCATAAAATCTTGCTTCCCTGGCAACCTGGCGTTCCAAACCTTTAGCAGACTGCTTGAAATACTTACCAAGATGCTGTAAAAAAGTAAGGGGAAGGTGATAAAATCAGTCATTTCCAAAATTATAGTACAGATAATAAGATGAAGTTTTAATTGAATAATCTGCTAACTAATCTTTTCAACATGGTCGTGCTGGCCCAATCAAAGCAAGCTAATAAGATGAGGCAATCATCACTTCTGTGAACAAAAGAAGGATAAAAATAGTACTCGAAAGCATTGTAGTTTCGTTGCTACAGACACTCCAAGATCTGATAAAACTTCATTAGGTAATGGTTTTGGCCTTGTCATCCCACCCACTGTTACTGCATCATTAGCTTCCACCTACAGTAATATCAAGACAGACAATATTTTGTAATGATATTTTTAAATACAATATTCTCAAGAAACCAATTAAGTAAAATTACAAGCAGAGAAAAATAATCACAATTTCAAGATCCTGATAGTTAGCAGTTAACTCCTATCTCCTCCCTAATGAAACTGACAGACTAAAGTTCTCCCAACCTATTCTTGCAAGAAAGAACGAAAAAGGAAATAAAGCATATCCATAAAGCCAATAAGAACTAAAGATCAGTTTGCAGGTTTATGATTCCTCGGTACACTTAGATAAGCGCTTCAGCATTTGTGGTGTGCACCTCAGAACCAGAAGCCCAATTTTTTATTTTTTTATTTACTTATTTATTACTTTGAGGATGAAACTAAGAAATATTCTTTTAAAATGTTTGTTTTTTTCTCCATAATCTCTCATAAAATCTCTAGTTTCTTCAACTTTTCGTCATCTTAATATTCATAATACTATTCCACTTCATGTGTAAAAAAGATATTAACATTTTTCTAGTATGTGCCTTGCACTTAAGTTCCAGAGGACTATTGAGCTTTGGACTTTGCTGCCACGCTTTGAAAAAAAAAATGCAAAGACATAAATGTAATGTAAAATCTATGACAACTTGCCTCCACATTTGCAGGCACTTTTTTCTAACAAGAAACCTTTGCATGCACATTTGTTGAAACTAATACTAGCAATCTAGCAAATTAGAGGCGTTTGATATAAAAACTCACGGTGTTGATGAGATCTATGATAACAGAGAGCTCTTGATGAGCCAACTGCAAGTTTTCTATCATGCTCTGCCATTGCCACGGTGTTGCACTCTCCTTGGAGGCCTTCTTCTGCTTCTTTTTGTCATCGTCCTTCTCTATTGCCCAAGCAAAGTCAATTCTCCGAATAAGCGACAATCGTTTCTCTTCATAACCAACATCTCTGTTAACAGTATAGCAAAAATCAATCTCAAGTATTGAAAAATTAACGATAAATTTATCAGAAACTTTCATCACGAAAACCGAAGAATACATTTAAAGATTAGATTCCAGACAATTTAGCATAATGAGATCAATTGTGTCAGAGTTCACTCTAAGCAATACCAATGTACAAACACGAACGTAACCAGAATGAAGAATAACGAAGCACAAGCACGCATTCGTCCACTAAGACATATCTCCTTCTACCTTAACATGCATACGAACTAATTAACATTTCCTCTGTCATCTCAGGATCCAAAAAATGTGGGAAAACCAGATAAAGAATGAACATACGATGGAAATCGTTCGAGACCATTTTCTTCTATGGCCTCCAAGCGCTTGACGGGAAGCTTGTCGAGAGAAACTTTCATGTCTCCGTCCATATTCACACGGTATTTTCCCGGTAACAATGTGGGGAGGGAAAAAATTTGGAGCGAGCCCTAAAACGGAAGAGAAGTCCGGGATCGGGATGAGAGTCCACTGACAGAGAGATCAGCCGACGACTGTAAAACGAAATGACCGCTTTGTCCCTGAATATTTTGTACACACATCTTCCTTCGCTGGCTTTTTCGGTAGACATTTCCTTCTAAAATTTTCATTCTTTTTTTCCAATTTAAATGGTTAAATTATAAAAAAATAGAATAAATTTGGTATTTTATTTTACCATCCATAAATAAATAAATTGGCGAGGCAATTGTAACCCAAAGATCAAACATTCACAAATCACAGCTATCACTAACATCATCGATTACAAATATTAAATATTATTAATATTCATAACAATCTTAAAAGTAGATTAGAGTGGAGTTTAGTCGTAACTCTATTTTTAGGTTAGTCGGGTGGATCTGACAAAAAAAAAAAAAAAATCAACCATGAATCGACTCGAATTTTCAATTTCCAAAAGTTGAACTCCCAAAACATTAAAAAAAAATTAAGATTTGGATCGGGTAAATATTGGATTAGATAGATCAAAATGTTCGGGTTATTGAGACATATAAATACTCCTAATTTTTTATAAAATCAAACACTAAATTAGGTTATTTTAAAAATTTAAGAGAGACGTAACGAAATAAACTATAATTTTTAATATTAAAATAAAATATTTGAAAGTTAATAAAAAAAATTAATAATTATTTCCTAAACTTAAAGTATAATAGTATTAACTTTAAATTCAATAAATAATTTTTTAAAAAAATGGTATTTATTCTACAATTAAGTTGCATGGTTGAATAAAATTCCAATATATTCAAACACCGTTCAAAAACATTTATTCGGAATAAAATATGTTTTTTTTTTTAATATTTGTGAAAAACCAAAACAGCTGCTAATTAATCAATTCACGACATTTGAATATAATAATCTGACATTTGAATTAATTGGGAAAATCAAATTCTTATGGTGCAATGCATGATGACACATTTTTTAATATAAATAAATTGCATTAAACACTAATAATATATAAGTTATTTTGAACATACATACACTAAAATACATTATAATTAAATTGTTTTTCCATGCTGTATATTTCTAGATAAATATCTAAAATTGCCATTATTATAATAATAAACAAATACTTTAAATACCGTGCCAATTATAATAACGGCGATGTGAAATTATATATATATATATATATATATATATATATATATATATACACACATGTATATAGTGCCGGGCAAAGGTGGTAACATAGTTTGATCCGAGGCAAAGTCGCATAAACAATGTTTTTGTTTATATTTTTTGACTTTTTTTTGGTTTAATAATTGTAAAAATGTGAGATCAAAACATTAATTTTTAAAATGATAATTTATTTAATCATAAAAAAAAAATATCAACTTTAGCGACAGGTCTAATATACATATTCATACCTTATAATTTTACGATGAAATTTGGATATATATATATAAGAGGATGAACTTTGAATTTCTAACCTTCTAAAAATTTAGCCGATCAAATTTTGGATGAATTTTGGTAAAAAAAAAAAAAAAAAAACCTTGAGACAAAGCCTTCGAGCGATGAGTTTTGAGTTTCTAGATCTCCAACGCTCTAGTAGATCGATGTTTGGCCAAACTCCAACCCAAATGTCAAGAAATGCTTGGTGGGGAAAAAACTTGTGGTTTCTAGCTCTCCCACACTCTCTCGAGCCAGAGTTTAGACAAATTTTTCTCCATACGTAGAGAAGAGCTCAGAAGGTAACGAACTTTGAATCTTTGACCCTCCAAAGTTTCAACAGGTCCAATTTTGGGTGAACTTTGACACAAACATCGAGGTAGATTCTAGAACGAACGGACTTTAGGGTTCGTGGCTCTCCAAACCTCCAATAGGTTAAAATTTGGTTCAAATGCCAAGACGAACTCCATAAATGACGAATTTTGAGTTTCTAATTCTCTAAAGCTCGAAAAGGGTCAGAGTTTGAACAAACTTTGATTCGAACCCTAAAAAGGACGAACTTATGCGCAAACGTCACACATGACTCATTTTCGACTCGTTTTCGAAATGAAGAAAGTCTGTAAACATAGAGAGACTAGATCTTAATTAGAAATTCAAAGTTGGTTCCCATTTAATTATTCAAATTGACTTAATACATTTGTGCCCCTTTTGAGAAAGTCAAACCTTATGTTCCAGCTCGTCAGTTGACTGAGGAATCCAAGCAGACAAAAAACCTTAAAATAATCAAATAATTAAAAAGGAATGAATCAAAGCTTGTCTCCAACTCCAATATATAAACCTTCTAAGCAACTCAAGAAATTTCAATCCAAAACATTCATAATTCATTAATTTTGAATCTGTTTGGATAAGATGAAGAAGAACCCTCTTCGTCTCAAGTCTGTGAATCACATCTCAATAGTGTGCAATTCAGTGGAGAAATCTCTGGAATTTTATCACAAAGTTCTTGGGTTTCATCCTGTTCAAAGACCTGCTTCCTTCACCTTCCATGGCGCCTGGTATATATTTATTCTCTATCTTGAAGAACCCTAATCCTATATCATTTTTATCTTTGTTTTTCGTTTAAAAATCGAAACTTTATGGTATTTTTTTGACGATGGAATAGGTTGTTCAACTATGGTATGGGTATACATCTTCTTCAATCCGATCATGACTCTGATACCATGCCCAAGAAACGAGTCATCAACCCTAAAGACAATCATCTTTCGTTTCAGGTACCTTTCTCTTTTCTTTTTTTGAAGGGACGGGTTAAAACTCAATTGGGTCGGAATGAATTTTAACATATAACGATATAGTCTTTGTAAAAAAAAAATCGTTATTATTTCGATGAAAGTTTTTAAAAACTTCATCAATGCTTGGGCAGATCTGTTAAATACCCACAAACGTTCAAAAGTAATATCAAAAAGTTTGAAAATGATCTATAACGAGTAGATAGATGGTTTCCGTTCATATATTGATGGTAATAACTTTAGCTATGCCCTAGACTTAGTCGTGCCAATAGATTGGTAAATCCTAAAATGTCGAACAAAGGAGTCCAAAAGAGACAGGAGTCAAGCCTCCTCGAAGGCACAAAGGCAGTAAAAAATAACTAAGACTTCAAAGGAGTCGAGCCTCGATTAAGGGCGTGCTTTGTTCAAGGGGAGGTGTTGATGATGAAAGTCTCACATCTCTAATTTAGGGAATGATATCAGTTTATAAACAAAAAAATATTCTCTCAATTGGAATGAGGCCTCTTGGGGAAGCCCAAAGCAAAGCTATAAGAGCGTATGCTCACAATGAACAATATCATACCATTATGGATAGTCTGTTTGTCTAATTTGCTCGAAATTATTTTTATGAAGGGAAACACTCTTAAATCTATTTTTGAACATAATACAGACAATTAAAGGTGTTTTTGAATTTTTTTTAAGAGTTTAAATGTATTATTGAAATTTTTGAAAAATTTATGATTATAATTTTTATCTTTTAGATCTAAAAAGATAGAATATCTTACTATCTTCTTATCATAAACGATAGAGCGAAGACATGGCAACGACGGAGAAGCAACTAAAGAAGATGAAAATAGAGTACGTAAAGTGCGAGGTGGAAGACGACGGGATATTCATCGACCAGCTTTTCTTCCACGACCCCGATGGCCTAATGATCGAAATCTGCAACTGCGAGAATCTCCCCATCCTACCGGTGTCGGGAGGCGGCGACTCCCCGATTGCCGTCGTCAACGCAGCCCGTTTGTGCAGTATTCAACAAGCCGAGCAACAACAAAAGCTACAACAAATCCAAAACGCCGCCGTTCAAATGATGCAGCTTCAACAACTACTCATCAGCATCCCATGCAACGCATGCACGTGAAAACATAATTATAAAAAAAAAAAAAAAAAAAAAAAAACATAAACAACATTCAAATGGACAAATTTATTGTGACTAAGAACATGAGTAATAATCAAGGAATACAAGCCAACTCACGATTACGTTTCATGAGATTACACGTACCTAAAATGAGTTCTAATAATTTATTTGAAGTGTTATAACGAGACTGCTATTCTGGTGGTTTAGGGACACCTTCAAAGTCGTCCACACATTCAGTTACATAGCTAGCAACACTGAGAGCTGGCAAGCCATAAATGTCTTTCCCCGTTTC